ATTTTGAAGGGTCTCTGAGGGGCTGGGGGTGTCCTGAGGAGCTGGGAGGTCTGGGGGTGGCCCATGAGGGGATTGAGGGGGTCCCGGGGAGGGATGAGCGCTCTGGGAGAGTCCCTGAGGAAGATTTGGGGGTGCTCCTGAGGGAATAGGGGAATTTAATTGGGTTGTTGAGGGGATAATGGAGTCCTGGGCAGGATTGGAGGTTCCTGATGGTTCTGAGAGGACAAGGGGTGGTCTGAGGGGGATTTGGGGGAGCCCCGAGGGGATTTGGGGTCTAAGCGGGCTCTGAAGGGAATCTGGGGGGTCCTGAGCACTCAGGGCAGAGTTTGGGGGTGGTCTCTGAGGGATTTGGGAACCCACGAGGGGTTTGAACGTGGCTCAGTGGAAATGGGGGAATTGAAAAGGGGAATTGAGAGGGATCCGGGGGTGCTGAGCTCAGGAATTTGAGGGACCCCCCCAGGGTGACCCCAAACCCCTTTAATTCCTTCCCAGACCCCCAAAGTTCCAGAGGTTCGGGATGTCACCCGGATCGAGCGGATCGGTGAGGCACAGCCCCCTCCTTCTGGGGGGAGATCTTCCCTTTTTGGGGACCCCCCGCCCCGATTGGGGGGCTTCTATCCCACTTTTGGGGGAGTTTTTGGTGGTCCCCAATATGGAGGAGAATGCTCCTGAGTGTCCCAAATCTCCATTCCCAGACACTCATTGCGTGTGGGGCTGGGTTTGGGTGATCCCCACTTCACTTTTTGGGGGTCCCACCTCACTTTTAAGGGCATCCCCAAATTGAGGGAACCCCATTGAACCTCCCAACCCTCCATTTCCAGACCCCCCACTCCCACATCATGGTGTGGGGCTGGGAATTGGATGACACCTTTTTTTCCCTTAAAATCGGGACTCAGGAATTTAGGGGATCGCTCCCAACACTTTGGGGGGGATTGAGGGGTCCCCAAAATGGGGGGAGGACCCTTTGTAACCCCTCCCCAAATTCCTTTCCCAGGCGCCCACTCCCACATCCGCGGGCTGGGCCTGGACGATGCGCTGGAACCGCGACAGGTACGAGGGGCTGGGGAGGTTTGGGGGGGGGGGTCTGCACCCCTGGAATTTGGGGGTTCACCCCTCCCTGTGCCCCCCCTCAGGTGTCCCAGGGCATGGTGGGGCAGCTCTCTGCCCGCCGTGCTGCCGGCGTCATCCTGGAGATGATCAAGGAAGGGAAAATCGCCGGGCGAGCCGTCCTGATCGCCGGGCAGCCCGGGACGGGGAAAACGGCCATTGCTATGGGTGTGTGACCCCAAAAAACCCCTAAAACATCCCCTAAAAACCCCCAAAACATCCCCACAACATCCCCAAAATCACCCAAAAACATCCCCTAAAACATCCCCAAATCCCTGTCCTGATCGCCGGGCAGCCCGGGACGGGGAAAACGGCCATTGCTATGGGTGTGTGACCCCAAAAAACCCCTAAAACATCCCCTAAAAACCCCAAAAACATCCCCAAAATCACCCCCAAATCCCCGTCCTGATCGCCGGGCAGCCCGGGACAGGGAAAACGGCCACTGCTATGGGTGTGTGACCCCAAAAAACCCCAGAAACATCCCCTAAAAACCCCAAAATCACCCAAAAACATCCCCTAAAACATCCCCAAATCCCCGTCCTGATCGCCGGGCAGCCCGGGACGGGGAAAACGGCCATTGCTATGGGTGTGTGACCCAAAAAAACCCCTAAAACATCCCCTAAAAACCCCAAAAACATCCCCAAAACATCCCCAAAACCACCCAAAAACATCCCCTAAAACATCCTCAAATCCCCGCCCTGATCGCCGGGCAGCCCGGGACGGGGAAAACGGCCATTGCTATGGGTGTGTGACCCCGAAAAACCCCTAAAACATCCCCTAAAAAAACCCCAAAAACATCCCCAAATCCCCGTCCTGATCGCCGGGCAGCCCGGGACGGGGAAAACGGCCATTGCTATGGGTGTGTGACCCCAAAAAACCCCAAAAA